TCTATGAAATAACAAACTCTACTCAGTGTTTGATTCTTGCGAGAAATTTCTGAACTATTCAAATTATACAGTAGCAGTTGACATTTGCATTCACTGGCACTGCTTGGGTGACACTTTGCAATGAAATCTTAAAAATGTTCGGACGACATTTTGCATCATTTAAATAGCAGAAGTTGTCAGTAATAGTTGAACCTGAAAAGCAAATTATCCGTGACTTTTTATCTGCAAAATCCAAATATACATGTACATGTCAAAGGAAACATGTGTAAATACGCGACCGTGTGTAAACAAAGTCTCAAGGCGCTTCTTGTTGCTTTAGAATTATTTTGTGAATGTGCATCGGCATTATTGCAATTGAATGTCTGATTATCTGTGTCCACAGTCCGAGGATGTTTTTTTTTCCACTGGAAGCTTTACTTGTAATTTGACCTCTTGACTAGAAATACATGTACTATTTTCGCGATGGAGTGCTGAAGCCATCGTGGAGAAGTTCCCTACGTGATAACATCTGCATTTGATATTTTGCCCCTTGCTTTTTATGGGATGTGATTGCTTACATAAAAGTTTCGATTTGAATATACATCTAAAGCTTCAGAAAACTGCAGAAACGTCCAAGAGCTTTGAGAACAAGAATGGCCATAGGGAGATTTTAACTGGGCTGCCAAATTTCCTGGGGGAGAGGGTGACTGCACACACTCAGGCCACCAGGCTTGTAATTTACCATTGCGTGACATAGCATCTCATGTGAGAGTTAAGCATTTACTTATTTGAACATTGTACCCTTTTGAAAGACTTTGGTAACAAGAAAAATGAGTACTATTTTTAAGTCGGGACTGTATAGTACCTTTTCAAATTCCACTGTTATAAATCAAAATAATCAAGTGAGCCATTCTAACTAGGAAACAATAAGCGTTATTTTCACACACCCCTCCCCAAGTTGCTCTGCCCCCCCAAAATAGTGTGACTAATTTGACCTACAGTAACCAGAAATTCCAAAAATTATTTTTTCTACGCGTCATAAAACGCTGTTAATATTTTAACAAGCAGCACATTTCTCAATTCTGGTTCTTAATACTAACAAAGCAAATTAAATTTAAGTTTTGTTTTTGTCTGATATTGCTTTATTAAGCCTTTCTAACTGTGCTAGTGAATATATATATAACAATTATTCACTGAAGTGGAGGTGGCTAGTGGTGCATATTTACCAAGCCGCAGAGCAGCGATTGTCTAACTGATCGACTGACTGGCTAACGGAATGAATGATTGAATAACTGACAGAATTACTGACTGATTGAACACTTAGTGTCTGACTAACTTCAAGCAACCAACTGGCTGACTGAGCTGAAAGGCCACTGACTAGCTGACTGGCTACCTGACTGACAGACTGACTAACTGACTGAGTGACTGACTGTGTAAGGAGAGGAGGGGACTGTTATTAAAGGAGGACTACCTAGCTAGTACAGTCAATGGGTGGGTGTTAATTTATTATAGTTATATGTGGTAAATTATTCCAACATGTTTGCTCACTGGTATTCATGAAATTATGATGCTTTCAAACCTCTTTAATATGGGCACAAAGTGGACCATAATAACAAGTTGTCTGTATTGAGCAGGTTGATTTACTAATTAGGGAAAGATTAAGGCTTTCTTTTCCTAGGGACAAAGTAATGTCTGTAATAATAAGCTGTCCGAACTAAGCGGGTGTCTGTAAAGCAAGGTTTGACTTTAATGGGAAATTAGTCTGTTCTGAAAATAACTTATGAGCTTCATTGAATATTTTAAACTTTTGTTTCCAGATCAGATGCCACAGAAAGACTGGACAAGGACCTTCATGAGCCAAGAGCCTCTGTTATCTTCAGTAATGTAAGTGCTATATGATTTGTGTTTTAATCCAGCTCTTAAGTGAACCAGATAAACAGAACTGTTTAGTTTAAAGTTTCATAAAGAGACTGACTGATCAACTGATTTTTTAAAAAAGTTGGTTAGTATACTTCTAACTATTCAACTAACCATTTTGACTGACTGACTGACTTAGCAACTTAGTTACTGGCTGGCTGCCTACTTGTAACTGACTTACTGACTGGCTGATGGAATGACTGATTATATATCCGATTGGATGAGCAATTTACAGTACCAAGACACTGACTAATTGAGCAATTGACTGACTCACCACTGATTGTGCAATTGGGTACCTGACTGGCTGACAGAATGACTGATTGAGCAACTGACTGACTGACTGTACAGTTGGGTTTTTGACCAACTGACAGAATGACTGATTGAGCAACTGACTGACTGACTGACTGACTGGGCAATCGGGTTTTTGACCGGCTGACAGAATGACTGATTGAGCAACTAACTGACTGTGCAATTCTGTACCTGACCGGCTGACAGGATGACTGATTTAGCAACTGACTGACTGACTGACTGTGCAGTTGGCTACATGAATGACTGACAGAGTGACTGATGGAGCAATTGACTGACTGTGCAGTTGGGTACCTGACTGCCTGACAGAATGACTGATTGAGCAACTGACTGACTGACTATGCAGGTGGGTACCTGACCAGCTAACAGAATGATTGATTGAGCAACTGACTTACTGACTGTGCAATTGGGTACCTGACTGACTGACAGAATGACTGATTGAGCAAATGACTGAATGACTGACTAAACTGAGTAACTTACCAAGTTACTGACTAACTGCAACCAACTGACTGACTGACTTAGGGACTGACTGCGGTCTGCAAAGCAGGGGTCAATTTAATAAAACTTTTACAAGTGTAATTTACAAGTGTATCCATTGTTTAGAGTCTGTGTTAATCATGCTCCAAACAAATGAACTTCTTTACTCCATTCCAATGAACTTCAATTTTCTGTTTTCTCCTACAGAGGTTTCTGATAATAGCAATTAAACCAAAAGAAAGCTATATATTATAATCAAACCAAACAATAAATACAAAACAAAGAAATGTACCAGAGAAAAACCTAAAGAAATAAACTAAAGGAATTAAAAACACACACCTGACGGCGAACATATTATCCGAACAGTGATGGATAGTACATAAAGTATGGCAATGGTATACAAGCGATCCTCGAGTAATGGTCACAAACGTTACACTAAATGGCAGGATATTAGTGACCTGGGTCCCATTTCTCAAAATAGTGCCGATGATTAATGTGCCCCGTAAGCTGTCGCTATTTAAATTAAAGATCAGGATTTCAATAGTTTTGCATCTAAAATGATAAAACTATCAGTTAATGAAACAAAATGGAGTAGTTCACCAGCCAGGAGCCGTACGCTTATTCTTTATATTTCGGTTTGAATATTTGATTTTGAGCCCAAAAAGTCACTGGGACTTTCGAGAAACAGGCCTCTGGAACTTAAATTAAGCCCAAAAAACCACTGGTCCTAAATCAGTGGAAACAGTCTGAAATTATATTCCTACAGCTGTACACTTGTAAAATTATAATTGTAAAAGTTCTATAAAATTGATACCAGTAGTGTTATTTGCAAGTACAGTCAAGGGGTGGGTGTTAATTTATTATTATAATCATATGTGGTAAATTATTCCAACATGTTTGTCCACTGGTATTCATGAAAATGTGATGCAGTCAATTCTTTTAAATATAGGCACTTAAAGGGGGCCATAGAAAGTGTCCATATTAACGGGATGTCTAGATTAAGTAGCTTCAATTTAGAGGGGGCTTTCTTTCCTCAGGGACAAAGCAAAGTGTCCGTAATTATAAGGGTTCTGTATTAAGTGGGTGTTCATAAAGCAAGGTTTGAACGTTAATGGAAAATTGGTCTGTTCTGAAAACAACTTATGAGCTTCATTGAATATTTTAAACTTTTGTTTCCAGATCAGATGCCACAGAAAGACTGGACAAGGACTTTCACGAGCAAAGAGCCTCTGTTATCTTCAGTACTGTATGTGCTCTATGTTTTGCTTTGTAATCCAGCTCTTGAGTGAACCAGATAAATAGGATTGTTGGCCAGGTGATTTCAAAGTTTGATTAAGTTAATCCAGGGAAAGCTGTTGTAACATAATTATGTTGTGCCTAATTCTTTCATTTCACAGTTATTTCACCATCAAGTGTACCACTTTTGGCAGTAGAAGTGTGTCAATATTACTTTTTCCAGTAAAAGAACAACAACAATCTTAACTAAAAAAATGTCCAAAATAAATGCAACATAAAAGGGCAAAATTCCAAAATAAAATTAAATCAAGTATAGTTGTACAGCTTGGTCAACATTATTGTGATGAAAATATAATGATTTAACCCAGGATCATCCAATTGAGTGTAGTCCTGTCACAACAGGTACAGCTGTTGGGGATTCAGTGACTGGCATTTCTAAAGTGTATTTAAAAGAAATCAACAGGATCGAACAAATATTTTTTTATTGACTTCTGAATAAATAATATTGGTACTTCAAGACCAAGCAAATAAAACCATTATTTTTAAGGGATACATTCAGCATTTCTGTTGAACTTTGTATGAATTGGACATTTTACATTAAATAAATGCTTGCAATCGCCAGTTTTATGTCTGCAGGGAATCACAATACAAAAACAGCTGAAACGCATTGAAATCTTTTTGGTTTCAAGAACAAAATTATTTGATTGATTGCTAAAATTCCAAGAGACATGCACTTGTTGGTGAAGTACTCATGATCAGAAAACTTAAATGCAAAAACCGTGGTCATTATAAGTTTTCTCCTGGATTAGCATTTGTCGACTTTGTTCAACTGTCACAATGTTTAAATCAATAGCCAAGTTCTGCTGATATAATAATAATAATAATAATAATAATAATAATAATTATATGCAATCCATATTATTATTATTATTATTATTATTATCATTATTATTATGAGGTTGTTATTATAGTACCTGTTGGTGCAGATATGCAGTCCATATTGTACACTTCAAATTTCTTGCCACGTTGATATATTCAAATGACTGTCTGACTTAATAATTGAATGGGATGACTGTGATAACAAGGATAACTAGCATGACTAGTATAACTGGGATGACTGAAATTATTGGAATAAATAACATGACAGGGACTGCTAGGATGATTACTATGACTGGGATTACTGGGATGATACTGATGACTGGGATGACAAAGATGACTGTGATTTTTGGAATTACTAACATGGCTAGGATGACTGGCATGACTAGGGTGACTCAGATGACCAGAATGACTAGGATAAATAAGATTACTGAGATGACTGGGATAACTGGAATGACTGGGAATGACTGGAATGACTGCTGACTGGGATGACTAAGATGACAAAGATGACTGGGATTTTTTGGGATTTCTAACATGACTGGGATGACTAGGGTGACTGGGATGACTAGGATGACTGGAATGACTAAGATGACTGGGATGACTAGGATGACTAGGATAATTGGGATGACTAGGGTGACTAGGATGACTGGGCTGACTGGGATCATTAGGATGGCTTGAATGGCTGGGATGACACTTCTGACTGAGATCACTGAGATGACTGAGATTTTTGGGATTACTAACATGACTGGCATGGGATGACTAGGCTGACTAGAATGACTGATTAAGATGACTAGGAAAACTAGGGTGACTAGGATGACTGGGATGACTGGGTTGACTAGGATGACTAGGATGACTGGGAGAACTAGGACGACTGTGGTGACTAGGATGACTGGGATGACTAGGACGACATGGACTACTGGGATGACTGAGATGACTGTTATGACTAGGACGAATAAGATGACTTAGTTGACTACTGTTACTGGGATAAATAAGGTGACTGGGATGACTGGGGTGAATAAGTTTACTGAGATGACTAGGATGACTGGAATGACTTGGATGACACTACTGACTGGGATTTTTGGGATAACTAACATGACTGGGATGACTAAGATAACTGGGATGACTACCATGGCTAGGATGACTACCATGACTGGGATGACCAGGATAACTGGAATGGCCAAGATTACTGGGATGACTAGGGTGATAAGGATGACTCGGATGACTACTGGAATGACTGGGATGACTGGGATGGCTAGGATGACCGGGGTGACTGGGGTGACTGGGATGACTAGGAATACTAAGATAACTGGGATTACTAGGGTGACCGGGATGACTAGGATCACTAGGATGACTGGGATGACTGGGATGACTAGGATGACTGGGATCACTAGGATGACTGGGATTACTAGGATGACCGGGATGACTGGGATCACTTAGGATGACTGGGATGACTGGGATGACTAGGGTGACTACCATGACTGGGATGACCAGGATAACTGGAATGGCTAAGATGACTGGGATGACTAGAGTGATAAGGATGACTGGGATGACTTAGCTGACTGGGATCACCAGGACTACTGGAATGACTGGGATGGCTAGGATGACTGGGGTGACTGGGATGACTAGGAATACTAAGATAACTGGGATTACTAGGGTGACCGGGATGACTGGGATTACTAGGGTGACCGGGATGACTGGGATGACTAGGATGACTGGGATGACTAGGATGAATGGGATCACCAGGATGACTGGGATTACTAGGATGACCGGGATGACTGGGATCACTTAGGATGACTGGGATGACTAGGGTGACTACCATGACTGGGATGACCAGGATAACTGGAATGGCTAAGATGACTGGGATGACTAGGATGATAAGGATGACCGGGATGACTTAGCTGACTGGGATCACTAGGACTACTGGAATGACTGGGATGGCTAGGATGACTGGGGTGACTGGGATGACTAAGAATACTAGGATGACTGGGATGACTGGGATCACTAAGATAACTGGGATTACTAGGGTGACCGGGATGACTGGGATCACTAGGATGACTGGGATGACTAGGATGACTGGGATCACTAGGATGACTGGGATTACTGGGATTACTAGGATGACTGGGATGACTGGGATCACTTAGGATGACTGGGATGACTGGGATGACTGGGATTACTGGGATTACTAGGATGACCGGGATGACTGGGATCACTAGGATGACTGCGATAACTGGGATGACTAGGGTGACTGGGATGACTGGGATTACTAGGATGACTGGGATTACTAGGATGACTGGGATGACTAGGGTGACTAGGGTGACTGGGATCACCAGGACGAATGGAATCATTGGGATGACTACGATGACTGGGATGAAGTAGTTGACTACTATGACTGGGATGACTAGGAATACTAGGATGACTGGGATGACTAGGATGACTGGGGTGACTGGAATGACTGGGATCACTAAGATAACTGGGATGACTAGGATGAGTGGAATGACTGGTATGACTAGGGTGACTGGGATCACTAGGACGAATGGAATGACTGGGATGACTAGGAGATTGTGCTAGCATAATTTTAGCATTATTTGAGAAAACTAGCATAATTTTTTCCCATTTATTAAAACGTAGCACCGCTAGCATAATTCGCATATTTTGATAATTATCGGAACATTTTTGGGCTTTGACAGTTACGTTGATTCCCAAATCCCAATTATTCGCTGACGTTGTTCGATGTTTTATTGGTATTTGCAGTTAACTGAGCCCGGAAATAGGGGCCTGGGACTAGGGTGTACGGGAACCGGAAGTCCCATGGCAAACCATGTCGGTCGGTGTTTTTTCTTGAAGATCGTTGTTAAAAGAAGTTCGAAGCATGAAGCATGAACAAATTACGGACACGAGAAAGGATATGAATTATAGCTAACAAGAATAAACGGCTTCTGATTAAAGAAAATGTATTTTTGGACTTATTCGCTATGGTTTTTGAAGAGTACAATTAAAAAATAGGTAGCATAATTTGCAAAAACGAGCATAATTTTAGCATAATTTGGCCAAAAAAAACAGTGCAACTGGTATAATGAGCTACTTTTACTAGCACAATCTATGAAAGCCTACCAGGATGACTAGGATGATTGGGATAACTGGGATCACTAGGATGACATGGATGACTACTATGACTGGGATGACTGGCATGACACTGAGTTTTGGGATGACCGAGGGGAGTGGGATGATGATTGCAATGACTAGGATGACTAAATTGACTGGGGTAACTCGGATGACTGGGATAACTAAGATGACTGGGATGGTTAGGGTAACTGGGGTGAATAGGGGGACTAGGATGACTGGGATAACTAAGATGACTGGGATGGTTAGGGTAACTGGGGTGAATAGGGGGACTAGAAAGACTGGGATGACTGGGACGACTAGGGTGACTGGAATGACTAGAATGACTGGAATGACTTGGATGACTGGGAGGAGTGGGGTGACTGTGATAGATAGGGTGACTAGGATGACAAAGACTTTTAAAGTCACTTGCTTGGCTAATGGAAAAAAATTTCTAAAGTTATTACTGACTGACTTGTTTGAATACTGGCCGAACGAGGATTTGTCAAACTGAATAACTGACCGCCTGTTGATTTTTATTCTGACTGAACAGAATCAGTGCAGAATAATCTGACATTTAACCCAACTGTTTCAAAAGACAGACCGATGTTTGAACTGACCTGTATGACAGCTGGAGGGTCTGACCAATTCACAGTGGCCTTATTTTGGATTCGTATTTTAATGGTATAGTTGGTAGACTGCATATCTGTGCCGACTCGTATATTCGTATTCTGTGAACTTGATGAGTGCATTTCAAATCTCCTCTTGCTTGCGTCTTATATTAGGAATGACTGAATGCACTTCACATTGATACTTCACATTGATGATGTGTAGTGTGGTGCTTCTTGCTGGCTGGTAACTATTTCAACGATTGCAATAGTTATACAACCAATAAAATCGTCAGCCAACCTAAGCCATCATTTGATTGGGGGGAGGGGGGGGCGGTGGGAGGAGAGGAGAGTTTGTTCGTAGGTAAAACTGCAGTCGTGGCAAATTGGAAAATTAATCTGCTGTTTTGTTTGAGGTCTTGAATTTCTGACTAACATTCATCACTGCAACAACTTACCTTCGTATTCTTGAAGGTGATTTTTCAGTTCAAGTGAATAAAATGTGTAAATTCTTAAATTCAATTCCATTTTCATTTCCACGTTCGGGGAAAATTCAATCCACAGTTACTATCACAAGAAAATAAGATTTGGCATGGGTGAACTGGATTATTCCTTTAATTTGTTTTAATTGATTATGAATTTGGATTGCGTGCCTAACCTTCAAACTTCTTTGTGGAAAACAACAGCAAGTGCTTTGAGTATGAATTCATTTTACCAATATAATCAGTCTACTGCTTGCGAAATGGAATAAGAATTACACAGCAACAACAACAGCAAGAATAAATGATTGAAATGGAGTCGCCAAAATTTCTGCCGCAGTGTTTTAAAGTACGTTTGACAAACTCTGAATAAAACTGAGCGTGGAAAATTTAGTGTTCTTCCGAGGAGGTAAAGTGGGGAGATTTAGAAAATTTGCACTCATCTTTTTCAATTCCAGAGTGATCAACATGTTATTTCTC